TTGTAAATGGTGGCGAAGTCTGAGTAGGAGAGATAGCCTTGGGTGTATCGATGATGAAGCGATGGAAGGAGTTGAATATGAGTCATGGTGGCGTAGACTTTCTCGGGGGGCTTGTGGTTGGGTCGTCGCGAGAGGGCATCGACGACGTGGTTGCTTTTGCCGGGGGTATGGCAAATGGTAAATGTGAACTGGGCAAGGAAGTCTAGCCAACGGGCTTGGCGTGGAGTGATATCTTTCTTGGAGAGGATGGAGGAGACGATGGTGTTGTCAGTGCGGACGGTGAAGTATTGCCCGTCGAGGTACGGGCGCCAGACTGTGAGGGCGTGAATCACGGCGAGGAGTTCCTTCTCGTCGGAGGGGTAATTCATCTCCGCGGGAAGGAGCTTCTTGCTTGCGAAGGCGATGGGGTATTCGTCAGGTGGAGCCTCGGGGTGAGTGGGCGAGTCCTTGATGGAGGGGGTCTCGGCAGTGTGGCGGGGGAAATGTTGGGACAGTACGGCTCCGATGGCGAAGTCGGAGGCGTCCGTGGTGACATAGAAATGGCGAGTGGGGTCGGCGATCTTGAGAACAGGGGCCGTGGTGATGGTTTGCTTGAGTAAGTCGAAAGCTTGTTGGCGGCGATCGTTCCAATGGAAAGGCTCGTCCTTGCGGGTGAGTTCGTGGAGAGGGTACGAGATTTCGAAAAAGTTGCGAATGAACGAGCGGTAATAGTTGGCAAGGCATGGGAAGGAACGGAGTTGGAGGAGGGTCTTGGGTGGGGGGTACTCGACGAGGGCTGTGTCCATACGGATGCCTTCAGCGGAGACAATATGGCCGAGGTATTCGACGCTTGAAGTGGCAAACGTACATTTGCTGAGCTTGGCGTAGAATTTTTGCTCTCGGAGGATCGCGAGGACTTGGCGGAGGTGCTGAAGGTGGGACTCGAAGGTGTGGCTGAAGACAAGGATGTCATCAAGGTAGACAACGACACAGACTTCGACGAGGTTGCGGAAGATGTGGTTCATGGTGGATTGGAAGGTAGCGGGGGCATTGGTGAGTCCGAATGGCATCACGAGGAACTCGTAGTGCC